CGAAAATCTATCAAAAAATGAAAACTTTTTTATTTTTGCCGGTTTTAATCTTCAATGTTCTTTGACATTTACCCACTTAATTTTCATTCCTTTCATTTTAATCCCTTAATTAGTTTTTTTTACTTGCTAATTTTATTTTTAATTTATCACTTTTTTAATTTTTCTCTATTTATATACGTTATTACCCATATATATATATTTATTTTCTTTACATTTTTATTATTACTATTATATTTATTATTATTTTTACTATTATATTTTTCTTTTATTCTACTTATTTATATTATATATGTATATTTTTTATATTTTATTATTATTATATTTTTTACTTTTTCTTTCTTTTTATTATTCTTTTATTATTACTTGTATTATTTTTGTATTATTTATTTTGTTATATATATATATATATATATGCGTATGTTCTTTTTAAATATTTTAGTTTTTATACCTATTATTAATATATATTTGATTTTTTTATTTTAAGTGCTATATTTTATAATATTATACATATATTTTTCTATTAATTTTCTATATTTTTTATTATCATTATATTATATATTTTTTCTTTTTTTTATTGATATTATTGTTGTTATATATACATTTTACTATTATTATATATATATTCTACACAAGTTAATTATATCTACCTACTTTGTCCTCATCCTCATTATTTTTTTCTTCCTGTCAATTATACTTCACCAAACCTTACTTTCTTTTCTTCCCTTTTCGGTGTGATTTTATTTTTTAACTACTTATTATCATTATTAGTATTGTTACTATATATATATTGTAATTATCTTTATTTGGTTTTTTATCATTATATGTGTATATGTTCTTTTCGTCATTTAATTTATTAATTTATATATATTTACTTTTTTATTTATTTTATATATATATATTATTCGTACTTTGTTATTATTATTTTGTTTATTTTGTTTATTTATTTTATTTATTTTCTTTTTCTTTTTTATATATATATTTTATTATTTATTTTTTTACTTACTATTTTATCTTTGCTTTCTTCATTTTATCATTTTACTTAATTTGTTTTCTTTTTATTTTAATTTAATTAATTAATTTCTTACCATTTTATCTAACATGATTTTTTTACTTTCTTAAGGGTACATTTTCAATTAATCAAATGTAAGTTTTGGATCGTTATTTTACCTTTCAATTTAAACTTTCAACTTTCTTAATTAAAGACAACTGAAAATTACATAGTACCGAAAGGGCGGTTCAAGGGTGCTAATCATTCCTTGACCGTAACCGACTCCCGGATCCGACATATCACTGGTAAGACGAATATCATGTAAGAAATAAGGTATCCGATCAACCTACTTTTCGTAAAGTCAATGAACGGTGGCGACTCCTAATCCATTTTTCACGTCGAAACCCAATTCCGGGATACAACCGTAAGACGGTTGCGACAATTTCATTTATTTTATATAATTAAAAAGATATGGAGATCAGAGCAATGGAATCAATTCATTATTTTAATTACCAAGACACCAACGGCCAGGATTTAATCTCCCTGACAACTATGCTAATAAGGTCTTAATTAGTGCTGTCTGACTGTTAATTACAATAAAAAAATCATTAAGCCTGCCAGTTATTAAATTGGAGTAAATTACAAATTTGTAATCTAAACTTTACTATCTCTTCTATTTCATACTTTAAAATCTTTTTCAATTTTGTCATTGAACTTAATACATTGAGTTTTTTTGTCACACAACCGTTAAATAGTTAACGACGTTAAAGTAAGTTGTTATATAATGCAAAACAACGTCGTTTTTGTGAAAATTTTATTTTTTTAAAACGGTGTCATTTTTAATATCGTTAACTATTTAACGGCCGAGTGATTAAAATAGAATAGAGAATAAAATTCAGTGGAAAAAACCCAACATATTAAGTTTAGTGAGAAATTGAAAATTTTTAAAGTTAAATTAGAAAAAAATAGGAGAGAGAGTATAGTTTAGTGATTAAATTTGTAGTTTACCCATTAAATTGAACATAGTAAAAGATTTGATTAGTTCACTGACTGTTCGAATATTTAACGTCACAGCGCCACATGGCTGCTGTCTCTGTCCACCGAAGTTATGCCATGTCAGTCCGTCCATTAAATTTTAATGGAAAGTACTAAAATGAAACAAAAATTAAACGGGAGGTAGGGTTTTGAAAAAAATAAAGTTTAAATACTAAAACGGATTAAAATTGATAGTTTAAGTACTAAACATGTAATTTATCCTTTATAATTGAAAAAACTATTAATTATTACACGCTGGTTCTTGCATTTGGCATCAAGCTATTTTTTATTTTTTACCCACTAACTATTAAATTTTGTTTCAGGGTGTCACATTATGAAAAATTTATTTAGTTTTCCAATTGAAGCTACAAATTTAATATTCATATGGTGATAAAAATATTAGGCATAATGCCAAAATGAGCCCTTAAAATTTATCAAAATGGTCATTTTGCCCCAATTATATTATTTTTTAGCATTTTGACACCCGACGTTTCATTTTAAGACAAAAAAACTCATAACATTTGACATAATAATCACTTTATCCCTTATTCTCTTTTTTCCTAGGGCATTTTAGCCCTCAACATTTCATTTTAAGTTAAAAAGGCTAATATTTAGAGCGTTAGTCTGTGTTATCTAATAGTTTTCATCTATAGAAGATTTTTTTGCCCTAAAGAGAAACGTTGGGGCCAAAATGCTAAAAAAGAAGAAGAATATGAACCAAAATGATCATTTTGATAAACATTTAGGGCTATTTTCGGCATTATGCCAAAATATTAATAGAAAGTATTTATTCACATCGAATTTTGGTTTTAATCCTTAAACTATTCCTTTCCTCTTAAAAAAATCTAAAGGTGACGTGTAATATAGATTGGTGTAATTCAGGTTTTAGTCTAGCTAATATATTAAGATTTGAAATTTAAATAATTCTATTTTACTTTGATATAATTTTATTCTTTATATATATATATATATATATATATATATATATATATATATATTAGAACTCTAGATCAACAATATTAGTATTTTATTAGACTAATGACATATATTTTTGTAAAATTATTTTAATCATTTCGTCATTTTTTGTTAGATAAATTTATTATTGATTACTTTTTTTTCGTGATCGTGATTATATGATTAAATAACAGTAAAGAGTTATAGAATAAGTCTGTCACGTTCGACAAATACCGATGAACACCACTGACGGTGAACATCAATAATTTAATTTATAAAATTTTAAATTCTAAAAGATTCCACCTATAATTATAAATTAATTACAAATCTAAAGTTAAATTATTTAAAATAAACTATTAATTACATTATTTTTCATCATATTTTTTTGGCTTAAATGCATAATTGCCCCCTAAAGTATTCCATTTGTATCGAGTTGCCCCTTAAAGTATTTTTCGAGACGTTTTATCTCTTGAAGTTTAAATCGTTACCTCTTTTGTCTCAAATTATTAACTCTGTTAGAAATAATAATGTTAAATTACATATTTAGCCATTCAACTATCTTCACGGTTCTGTTTTGATTTGATCATCAAACTATTTTTCCCTCTCAAAATATCATTAATTTTTTTTGTTTTGATCACACAAATCAATTAAATTTATTTTTTTGAACTTACTAACTTTTGTTAACTTGCTTATTATATTTTTGTTGTTTATAGTAATCTCTAAAGTTGATTTCTTTTATCATTTTGATGATACATAACATGACATAATTTTAAAATTTCATATCATTAAAATAGTTAAATATAATAAAAATTACAAAGTTTAGAGAATATTGTGACAACAAAGTTTCATAATTCAAGTTGAGAAAAGCTACTAAAGTGTAAGAAAAAAATGTTGTGATATCCCTAATTTATATTACACATGTATGAATACTGGAACTCCAAATTAGAGGATACATGAACGAAAGCTTACACAATGTAAATTCAATAATTATTATAAACTTGAAAGAGTCGATGGTTTTACTTAAAAACATTGATTGTTGCAAGGGGACGTGATAACAATTTTTTGAGGAATAATAAATAAATAAATAAAGTAAAGATAAATAATTTTAACCAACATGGGTTGGTTTCAAGTGGTAAGTAATTTGATATCGCTTAATCAAAGTCTCGAGTTTGAGTAATTGTGTATGCAAAAAATATCTGCTGGGAGACTCACCCACCAAAACTAGATGTGCGACACGAGTTGGTATGGATTAGTCAAGGTAAAACCTTGAAACTAGGAGGACAACCAAAATAAAAGATAAATAATTTAAACTTAAGTTTAGTGAATATTTTTAGAGAGAGAAATGATTGGCTGACCAAAACAGATTTGTGAAAATATTTGAGTGACTAAATATGTGATTTATCCTTGATATTTCTAACGGAGTCGATGGTTTGGGGCAAATGAGGTAGTAATTTAAACTTCAAGGGTAAAACGTCCCAAAATTACTTTAGGGGGCAATGACGATTTGAAGCCAAAACAATTATGAAAAATAATGTAATTAATATTGTATTTTAAATAAATTATTATTTTTTAACTAATTTATAATAATACGTTGAGTTCTTTTGGAATTTTAAACTTTTATAAATTGAATTCATTGTACTCATTGTTAGTGATGCTTATCGGTGCTCATCGAACGTTATAAAATTTTTCAAAGTTATATAATTATTTTGACGATCACAGCTCATGATGGTAAATTTAAATAATATTATAAAAGTAAAAAAAAATTGAAACAGATATTAAAATTTTAAATATAACATAATTGAGGGAGTAAAGCAATAATTAGAGCACACAAAAATATTAATTAGCAAACCTGTTTTAATTAAAACTTGAACATTTATTAAGAAGTCAAGAAGAAAAAGAAAAAAGAATTTAATCGGCTCATCGCTTTCCCAGTTTTTTTTTTTAATCCACACGCTAAAACAAAAAAAATAAGCTGGAATTGTGTCCAAATAAATAAATCCCAAAGCAAAGCAAGGGTAGATGCAGCCTGAGTTAATCTAATCCCCAGATTCCCATTTTCTCTCTGCTTAATTTCTATCACCATCTTCTTCACAAAAACGAAATTCCCAACGAAACAAATCTGGCAAAATCTTATGGAATGACGGACTATCAGTTAGCACCCACCATGAATCTTTGGACCGATGATAATGCTCCTGTTATGGAGGCTTTCATTACCTCCGATCTTTCTTCTATATGGCCGCCGCCGCCTCCGCCGCAATCCTCTGCATCCACTTCCACACCAGCTGCTGCTGCTCCTGCCCTCACTCAAGAGTCTCTTCAACAGCGTCTCCAAGCCCTCATCGAAGGGGCTCGCGAGAGCTGGACTTACGCCATCTTTTGGCAGTCCTCCTATGATTACTCCGCCACTACCGTACTCGGTTGGGGCGATGGCTATTACAAAGGCGAAGAAGATAAAGGGAAAGCCATGTCCAAAGCTTCTTCCTCTTCACTCGCCGAACAAGAACACCGTAAAAAGGTGCTTAGAGAACTTAACTCTATGATTTCCGGATCCACGGCTCCAGCCGACGATGCCGTCAACGAAGAAGTCACTGACACCGAGTGGTTTTTTTTGGTTTCCATGACGCAGTCTTTCGTCGACGGCAACGGGCTTCCGGGGCAGGCCTTTTTCGATTCGACTTCCGTTTGGGTTTCTGGGTCGGACCGGCTAGCGAGCACCATGTGCGAGAGGGCGAGGCAAGCCCAGGTTTTCGGTTTGCAAACGATGGTTTGTATACCGTCGGCAAATGGGGTGGTTGAGTTGGGGTCAACGGAACTTATCACCCAAAGCTCAGATCTGATGAACAAGGTTCGGGTTTTGTTTAATTTCAACATTGGGATTGAAGCTGGTTCTTGGTCTATGAGTAACAACTCTGCTGATCAAGGCGAAAATGATCCGTCTTCACTTTGGATTAGTGATCCAAATCCTGGAGCCGAGCTCAAGGAAAGTAGCAACAACAACAACAACAATACTAGCAATCAGCATCAGCAGATTCAGAAGTCACCTCAGTTCTGTGACAATCGTAGTTCGAGTAGTTTAACTGAGAATCTGAGTTCCATTCCAACTGTAAATCAGCAGCAGCAGCAGCAGAATCATCCGCAGGGGCAGACTTTATGCTTGAATTTTTCCGATTATGGCTTTGATGGGAGCAGCAGTGCGAGGCATGGGAATTCATCTTCTCATGTTTTGAAACCAGAAGCCGGGGAGATATTGAATTTTGGTGAGAGTAAGAGAAGTGGGAATGAAAATTTGATTTCAGGGAACTCGCAATTCGTGGTGGAGAATAAGAAGAGGCCTCTTACTTCAAGAGGGAGCAATGAAGAAGCCATGCTTTCTTTTACTTCAGGTGTAATCTTGTCTTCTGGTGTGGTAAAATCAAGTGGTGGGGGTGCCGGGGATTCGGATCACTCCGATCTTGAAGCTTCTGTTGTTAAGGAGACCGATAGTAGCAGAGTCGTGGAGCTGGAAAAGAGGCCTCGAAAACGAGGGAGAAAACCGGCTAACGGAAGAGAAGAGCCTTTGAATCATGTTGAAGCGGAGCGTCAAAGAAGGGAGAAGCTAAACCAGAAGTTTTACGCCCTGCGAGCCGTTGTTCCTAACGTGTCCAAGATGGATAAAGCATCACTCTTGGGTGATGCTATTTCATATATTAACGAGCTTAAGTCAAAGCTACAAAATGTAGACTCAGAGAAAGAGGAATTGCATAACCAATTAGAGGCAATGAAGAAAGAATTGTCTAGTAATGACCCTCGATCCGCACTGCCATCACATGATCAAGACCTCATGAGGTCTAACCACCTTGCCTGTAAATTGATAGATTTGGAGATCGATGTGAAAATCATCGGATGGGATGCAATGATTCAAATCCAGTGCAGTAAAATGAACCATCCAGCAGCAAGGGTAATGGCTGCCCTGAAGGAGTTAGACCTCGAAGTACACCATGCCAGTGTATCAGTAGTGAAAGATTTCATGATCCAACAAGCCACTGTGAAGATGGGGAGCCGGTTTTACACGCAGGAGCAGCTAAAGATCGCCCTAACGTCCAAACTCGGTGATGCAAGATAGAGAGTATTTAACAGAGCTTGATCTAAAACAAGCAATTTGGGATCAATAGAGCTTGATTGAAGATACTTGTTTAAAATGGCTGGATGGCTCCGGGACGTTTTAAGGCTACCGGTAGCACGAGCTCTGTATAATACTGTTCTATTTTGTTCGTAATAGTGTTTAGCATAGTAAATAATAGCTTGAGAGTCGATGTTAATCAAGGAGGAGGTTAACTGGTTAGAAGGGGGTTGATTTTCATAACCTTTTAAGGCCGATGAACATAGTCGAGCTCCAAGGAAGTGAAAATAGCCTCTTTTTTGTTTTGTGTTAAATCTTGTACTATGTCTTGAATTTTATGTAAATAGATTGTTATGAGCTTAACGTGAATGAAGAAGTTGTGGTTTGTTGTTATCATGAAGCATGCATGGGCACCTTTTAATCAAGTCATGTCGGGTATTTGCATTAGCGTTCAAGTCATTTTTGAACATGCACAAGAACAAGGGGAGCATTTGAAAGTGTTGCTTTTACTGTTCCTGGAAGTGATTTTTTCTTGCACTTTCCTTAACCATCGATGTGCTTGCTACCATTTTTGTTGAAGATACATTTCTGGGCTGTTGATGCTTTCACGTTTTCCTTTTAGGATTTGGGTAAATTTGGTTCCCTGTTTTCACGGTGAACAATTTTATACGCCAGAAATGCACCGACAGGAAAAAAACCCTTTTCTTCTTTTGATCTTATGAGAATTGCATGTGAAACAGCTGCTTTGGTGAAGGAAAGGTTATGGATGCTTTCGTTTTTAGTTTGTTTGTGGGCTAAAAGTAGATGGTGATTATGATGAAAGTGAGGGAGCAAGTGAATAAAATTTACTTTACATTCAACTAAATTTTCTTGCAATTCGTTTATAAAAACTGATATTTTAATTTTATCAATTATAATATTAAATTTTAATTTTACATTTAATTATATCACTATGATGTTAAATCAATTATAAGATGATGACATGGTTAATTGTTGTTGACGTGACATATCACACCAAAATGACATTGTTTTGGTGCGACTATTCTGATGTCGTTTTAGACGCTATTAGTGTGTATCGATTTTGTTTCTGAATTTTTAAACAAATTTTTTAGCATTGCATTTTCTGGACGTAACCGGAAGTCAAGTACAACCTGTCACCGGTCATATTTTGCAGCAAGATCGATATCAAAAAGTTCATATTTTATTACTCTTTCTTTTCATACGATTAGTTTTCCATGACACCTACTCAAAATCGATGAAATGAAACGAAAAATCATATCGTTTTAGGCATCAAAATAATACTATCAAAACGACATTGTTTTGGTGTGACATGTCACGCTACCAACCGTTAGCTATGCCGTCGTCCCGTTAGTGTTTTTACTTCAGAGTGACATAATCGAATGTACAGCTAAAATTCAGTTCTATAATTGGTAAAATTAAAAGTTTAGTAACATAAATGAGTCAACGGACAAAGTTAAGTGGTGTCTAAACTAGTTTTCCCTTCAAATTTTTATATAATATGTTATATGTATATATATTTATTGATAATATATATTTTTCTTTTAAAATTTTATAATTTCGTACACTAAAAAATTAACTAATAAAAAATCATGTGTTGCCTGTTCGATCTTTCCCTGACCCTTTTTGCCTGGTTTAACGTACACGTTTGAAACGGAATTGTTGAATATCATATGATGTTATAAAAAATAACACGTCTTTCTAATATCGGTTTTCTTAAATTAGCGAATCGATAAAATAACCGAAATTCATGTCATTATTGATAACACGAAACAAGATTTTTTTTTGGTTTCATAGTATTGCAGATAAAATTGATCATTCGTTGACCTCTCCCATCAAATAAAAATATATTGAGTACCATACGTCTTTTGGGAGGTTATTCGATTACCTTCCAGGTATAAGAAAATTGTGTGTTATCCGTTTCCAAAACCTATCAACTTTGTGGCTTCAGCTGGTCCTTAAAAGCACATAAAATAAACCCCAAAGGAATATTTTTAAACACAATGAATTGACAACAGAATCAATGTCTTGTCTGAGACAAGCTTTCATGATCGGGTTTGGAATAAAAAATAAAATGAAACAAAATTCCAACCTTTAGATCTGATTCAAAAATGGGGTTAGGGTTCTCTTTTAACGACAATTATCACGATGGATATATTGATACCCTTTGGCTTCAACTCCACACCAAGTAGCTGAAAACCTAAAATAAAAAAGACTCCATACTATGATGAAACATGAAGTTTATCCTCTCAATTTCTTAAAGCTCTTAAAGCCCCAATTCCTCCTCATCCCACTGCTCCTTACCAGCTTAGGTTCATCGTCTTCCGGCACGAATGTTGTTCGATCCCCGTATGTGATATTGATTGTCTTTAGCCGGCGGTGACCCTTTTCCGACGATGTTGGCTCGTGACCACTTGTAATTTGATAATAACCTGTGGTGTTTATTACACCCGACCAGCCAACACTTTACTAGTTTTCCTGCTATCCTTTCCTTGAACAAAATGAATGTCCCTATCGCTGAACGAGCTTATCTTTGCTGGCAAGTCAAACATGAAGGTAATCGTATTTTTTTCCCATCCTAATGTAGTTTTTAAACTTAGAAAATAAACCAATGTGATTTATTTAAAAAGTACGAAGGTGACGTTAGTTTTTTTAGAAAAAGGGTCAAATTAGTTTTTTTAGAAGAATTAAGTCTCGTATATTCTTTTGTTTTTTTATTAATATGAAAGATTATAAAAATAATATTTATTTTAATTTTTTTTTAAATATTTGACGATATACACTCAAATATTTTTATAATTATTGTGTTTGAATCTAAAATTTCTATAAATAATAATTATTTTTTTAACTGCTGTGTTCGCTGGATTTTGAACGGATTTGACTTGAATTGAATGTCCTTGATGAAGGTGTATTAATCAACCGTGATGTTAGCTGTTAGGACACGTGGAAGGTGGTGCAGACATGATCAAATGCTAATTAATGTCAGTTTGTTGACCATTCTAAAATTGGTAAGATTTTAGTCTGCAATAGTCTTCCACTTCCGGTGGCCATTCCAAGTTTAACAGCGCCATTGTTTGTTGCAATAGTCTTCCACTTCGGGTGCCTAACAGCTTGGTTTCTTGTGGGCTTTCAAATCGATTGACTTCAACCCTAAACTGAGTCGTCTTTTAGCGGCCATGTTGGAGGAAAGTGTTAATATCAAAGTTTGTCTGAAAGGATCTTCATAACAATGGGTTGTTTCTTTCTTTTTAACTTTTATTATCTGAACTACTTGTTGGAGTTGTTTATTGAACAACTGCGTCATCTGTGTTTATTTTTCCCTGGTAATCTGGTGCCTGCTTTTTTGCTGGGTTGATTTTAGGGTTGTGAGTAGGAAGTAAAGCTTGCTTCTTTTTCTTATTGAATAAAAACATCAGGTTTCAGATATGGTTTAAGTGGTCTTTGCTGGAGACTTATTTGATCTGTTCTTTGTGAAGAGTCTTTATTGTTTGAGCTTTGAACTGAGAGTCCCAAAGTTTGAAGGTTTCAATTGTCAAAGATTTTAGCTGGTGCCTGAGCTTGGATTTTTTTTTGAAGTTTCTGGGATATTCTGCTGAATGTTTTGGCCTTGTGGGTGTTTGTAAAACCTGAGATTAGTTTGGTGCAGTTAACTTTGTTTTTGGGAATGGATAATTCGAAGAATCGGCTTAACGATCCACTTGGTGTGAGCAAGACTGGCAAGAACATAAAGAAGAGTCCATTGCATCAACCCAACTTTGCCAGTAATGGTGCTAGGCAACAGCCTCATCCTCAGGTTTACAACATAAGCAAGAACGACTTCCGGAACATCGTTCAGCAGCTCACCGGTTCACCTTCGCGCAACGATCCTTTGCCCAAACCACAGGGTATGAGATTGCAGAAAATTAGGCCCCCACCATTGACACCAATGAATCAACCCCATATTCCAGCTCCTCATGAACCAGCTCATTATAACAGTAGCTTATCTAGACCGGGTCAATATGGACAACCATCCCCTGGAATGTTGCAACCTAACATACCCGGAGATGCTGTTTGGGAGAACACAGCTGAATCTCCGATCTCAGCTTATATGCGATACCTTCAAACCTCTCTTATAGATCCGAGTCCACTTGGAAATCAAGTTCAGGGTCAATCTCATGCTCCACCACCATCTTCGGGCGGTGTAAATGGTGCTGTACCATTAATGCCTGATCCACCTCAACAAATGAATGGTCCTATTCAACCAATGACGAATCTCCCATCACCAAGGATGAATGGACCTGCCCTTTTACCCTCACCAACTTCACAGTTCCTTTTGCCATCACCTACTGGTTATATGAATTTGCTGTCCCCCCGATCACCTTTCCCTTTGCTTTCTTCCGGGGTTCAGTTTCCTCCGATAACCCCCAGTTTGCTTTCTCACCCATGGTTCAGTAGGGGATTTTAGGTCCGGGGCCTCAACCTCCGCCTTCCTCTGGTGTTGCGTTTCCATTGTCACCTAGTTTCTTTTCCTTCCCAAGTCCTAGATGGAGGGGTTAACAATCCAAGTTATACTTACTGAGGACCATCCCCTTCTCATGGAGATTCTAGTGTGAAAATATATTGTATGCTGCTGATACAAGGATCTTCATGGAACTTTTTTCTTCTCTTTTTGGGCAAGTTCTACATAGCTCATCTGACATCTGGTAAGGAGCTGTAACATTTGAAGTATGATTACAGGCTTAGGCAATATTTCTTGTTTACTTGTACTGCTGTGGACTAAATCCTAATTAATTTTGATTTTAGACTTAGTCCAGAAGTTTGTTTTTGCCTCGTACTTATCTTGGATTAAAATTAAACCCAGATTTATTTGCAGAAGTATTTGGATTACATGAAGTTTTGAGAAGTTCAAGCCACAATTGATCTGTTTGGAAATCCATTTAAAACATTTTCCATTCGTACAGGATCTTAAATCATTCATAACAACCCTGGCATAAAAGCTGAGATTATGGACAAAATTCATCAAGAAGAAACTCAACATTGGAAAGCAAATTAAAAAGGCCAGATTAATTAGCAACCCAGTATTTTCCAATGTGACCACTTGGGAGATAACTTTTTCCCACTTTTGCTGCATACTTTTTCTTTCTTTCTGCTCCTTTCGATTCCTTTGAGAGGATTCGGATCCTTCTTCTTTTGTGGTAACATTGTTTCTGATTCTTCCTGCGCCAAAGCAACACAATTGAATCAAATATTATAGTTCAGTGACATGCAGAAATCAAAAGGAGACGCTGCTTACCTTAATCTCAGACCTGGACAGCAGGGGTTGCTTGTGAAGTTGATTCGAATTGAAGGTCGGTAATGAGCGAGGAACAGATTGCCCTCTGGATCCTCGGCTGGAAGACGCATAACCAGATGTCGACGTCGAAGTGCTGGATGTGCTGCTGGATTCCAAATCCAAACATAACTGCAACAAGCAAAGATTGATGATAAAGCAATATCACCAAAATCGTGTCAAAATCCATTCTTTTCACCTGGAAAAGTCTATGTTCAAGAGACTTGACCCTGTCCGACAAGGAGCCTTTGAAGTAAGCTTCCCTCATAGCCAAATCCAATGGCAAACATGCTTTTTCCATTTCTTTCTGCAAACTTATTTTGCCTTCTAAATATTTCATCTGTGTGAAAAAAATGAAAATAATGAACAGCGAAAGCATAGAACTTGAAGGCAAATGAAGAGGTAGAGGGAGAGTGACTCACGATGAAATCCAAATGATCCAACCTAGAAATCAGAGGCATTGAGGAGTGCTGAGAATTTGTTTCATTTTCCATTTGAATTTTAGGGAGTGATTGTGTTTTTGGGTAAAGCTAATAAGACTGGAAGCTGTTACAAATTCCCTCCTTTTTCTCTCACCTTATTCACTCTGCCTACCAAACAATGCGCTTGTTCGTTACTGTATGTGGCAAATGATCTCGACAAAAGCTATAAAGCAATAGGTTTAATTCAAATTTTGGTCCTCAAACGTTTTAAATTATCATTTTAGCTTCTAAACTAAATCAGTTGACAAAAAAAATATAACAGCCATGTTAAGCTAACGTTAATTATTTTAAATTTTTCTGACTTTTTTACATTATAATGCTTTTTTATATAAATTTTACAATTTTTAATAATTTAAATATATCTTTTTGGATTTTTATTTATTTTTTCATGAAAAAAATAACAAATAAATTAATGTTGGTATTGACATTAACTCAAAATTATAAAAAGTATTTTTTTAAAAGAAAAATGATGACCAAAAATATTATTAGTTCAAAAGAATACATTGTCTAGCTTTCCAGCGTCCTATCTCTGTAAATTCCCTTAGACATGTTGACCAAAACTCCGAAAAATCTGATTTAATTAATTTAAATTTCAATTGAATTATATTATAAAAATAAATAACTTTTTAATTTAACTCAAATAATTAAACTGAAATTGACTCGAACTCGAAATAAACCTAAATTCAAAAAGATGTCAATGTAGCTGGGCAGTGCAGTATGGGATTGGAAATCTGCTTTCACCATGAGATTAAGCAAGAAAAATGGTGAAGAATTGACATGATATAAAAAAGATGATAAATAATAGGATAAACAACATATTTAGTTATCCAACTATCCGTAAGGTTCCATTTTGGTCATTCAACTATTTTCTTTTAAAATCATATCTAACTTTACATTTTTTTCATCCGCCGTTAAAAAATTAACAATAATGTTGACGTGTTATCATAAGGTAATATCACGTCAGTAGTTCAATTAATTTTTAAATGACGGGTGGTCAAAAAGAAACTAAAACGTAACGTCAGACATGATTTTGAAGAAAAATAGTTGGGTGATCAAAATAGGACCATGCAAATAGTTAGATGACTAAATACGTAGTTTATCCTAAACAATATAGCTGAAATTTGCTAGGAAAATGGAATATACATCCTTTTGAAGCAGAGTTTATCATTTTTAAACATAAAAAGTTTGTTGGACAATTAAGTCATTATAGGTAGAACCAGAGACAATGAGGAAGGAGGTTCAACATTTAATCATTAGAAAGTTATTATATTGTTAACAAATTAATATTTAGATTAAAATTATTTATATACTTTTTACGAAAATGAAATTATAATATAGATTATAAAATATTTTAACAATATATTTATAATATAAATTGTAAATTTTTGACGTCTTTTGTGACCATCTTAAAACTCATCTCTCATTATACTCTAATACTTTTTCGTATTTTTTTTTTCAAAATCTGAAATTAAACAAAAAAATCATTTCAAGGGTTTAAGACTTTCTCGAGTTTGAAGAGTTTAGAATTTTATTTGAAATTTGAATGATAAAAAAATTATTAATTTGAGAAAACGGAAAACATATCTCAAAACTAATCTTAATGGACAACTATTGGAAGGGAACAAATAGTAAATATTTCAAATCCTTAAATGAATTTTCATAGATTTTGAATGAATTTAATGAAATATAAATTTGCGAAAAATAAAGAAGAATGAAATACACACAATTTTAATATCAATCTCATTGCATTAAGAGACAACCAAACAGTTAAATTCCTAAAATTAAAACGTTTTAATTTAATAGCAAAATCAATATATTAATTTAACACCGAAATAATGTCATTTTGAGCACGACATCGTATTGGCAAAAAATATTAATTATATCGATATCGCTTCCAGTGACCAAAGTATGTCAATATATATTTCATGACAAATTCAAGAAAATAAAAACTGAAATTGAATATTAACAGCCGTTGCTGTTGAATATAAATGCCGGAATTTGAATTCACTCAAGATGAAATAACAAGAATATTCTTGATCACTCGATCAACTATTTAATAGTTGAGAATATACTTGTAAATTTTAATAAATTCTGTAAGTCATCAGAGAATTGCTGAAAATATACAAATCCGCAGTTTATTACACACTAAACTATATCAGTCATTAAGTTGGTGAGAACGCTTATGTGTATGACTTCCATATTAACTTAGAAAACTATGGCTGTGTACCGCCTCGCTATTTCATACCATTATTCTATATATAACCTGAATCTAAACTAAAAAAGTGACAGCCTAGTGTTCACCTCTGGGGGTAACTTCCTCTCCGAATCAAGTTTCAACACTCCGCTGCCATTCGGATCAGGCAATGCAAGGGACAGAGCCAGTGAAGGATTTGTGTCACCACTTGCTTCTCTTCCCCAGTATTCGTCTTGCAAATCTTTACTGCCCACCAGCTTCAAAAATGGTGGCATGTTTCCCTCATCTGAAGAATTCCTTCCAGCCTTAAGCCCAAGACTTGAAGAAACATAAGGATCTTGTTGACTCCCACCATTGTTCGAAAGAAATTGCTGCTCCAAGGACTTCCACCTATTACCTTCTGAATCTAATCGAGAAGCTATCACCGTATTGTCAACTCCATAGCACTCGAACTCGCCAGAACTGCTAGGAACTTGGCTATTTTTTGCAATGGCACATCTCTCATTAATATTTTTAATGATATTATTACATATGTTCATCCCGCTGATAGGAGAACACTTTAACATCTTGAAGTCACGCTTTCCATCAGGTTCTGTACAGCCTGCAGAATACACTAGGCTTTCTTGAAGAGGACAATTAAGATCAATTTCAGGTCTTTTCTTCGACTCTTTTTCTTCAATCTGCAGGAAATAAGATCATCAGCAGTTGCCCTCTAGTCAATGGGAAAAAAAGGCTTAAAAGAAAAGAAACCAAAAGGGCACAAAAGTCGATAACAAAACAATGTATTGACGGTGACATTACACGAGGACATCAAAGATACAACAGCACAAAGCTACTCTTTGCTCGAAATCACTTTGCATATTCCGCAAAGTTACTCCCAATTTTCCTCTGCCTGATCAATGCATTAGAAAGAAGCTGACATCAACTTTTAAACACAGGAAAAACACACATTTTCCCGACGGGTCTTCCAAAGGAGCCTAACGAACCACTTTCAGACAAGGGAAATAAACTCAAGGAAACTACCCACATTTTAGAACGTCTCTGCCTGCCTCCCACACCTCTCTATTTAGTTGCCAGATATTAAAAAACAAGTAAAAGCAACAAAATTACCTGATATGTGTCTGCTCCAGAGAACTGCTCATTTTTTATTTGGTTATCAACTCTGCTCACTTGTTGACTACAACTTATTTGTAAATCTGGGGGTTTTTGTTCCCAAGAAGATGCTTTGGTTTCACAAACTTCAACCATTCTTCCAGATGTAACTGCCTTTGAATCGAGCAAGGTGTTGGAATTTAACATTTCTTGGGTATTAGGAGATGCCATGGACAAGGATATATTTTGACTTGACTTTCCAAGAAGAATCAAATTCTCAGAAGCAGACACAGCCGGAATCGGTCGTGAGAAATGAACCATCTTTCCTCTGAATACACCCCATAAAAACAGTAAGTTATTCCAACCTGCAATGTTGAAACTTCATAAGATTTAGCCAATAAATGTCGATGTCAATCTCATTTTGAATGTAGAGATGAGTTCTTACGCCGAGATTTTTCTGGCAGAAGGTTAGATGAGAATATTAAAAGCTCAACCCCGCCAAAATTCCCTTTGAGGCTGAAGTCATTCTTAATCATCCTATCCATCAAGTTCTTATAGCTTCCTTCATAACTGCACAAGAACTACTAAAAATGGTGAAGTTATTTGAAAGAAAATTAGCTCCTCCAGATAAAAAAAACTTTCACAAACCTATCAAAGTCTTTTGCAAAAATGTAGAGAGCAACATTATCTTCAGTGGCCCGACTTTTCATGAATTGAGTGGGCCACATGGTCAATCGGGGTGCTTCCTCAAACGATAGCCTTTGAAGCAGTTTCGGCACTAGCTCAAGAACTTTATCCGAGGCATAAGTTGATAAGTGCACTTGCATTCCATCACAAGTAAATGGAAGTCCGCCGCTACTCTGAATTTCAAACTTGCCTCTGCAAGACATGTCAAAAGGTATTGTTTAAGACAATTAAAGGATGAGCAGTGAAGCAGTACGATGCCACTGACAAACTTCAAAACAAACAATAAGGAACAATAACCATACCGCCATATATAATTGGGCTGTGGAACAGCAGAAATCAAAGAGCCTATATGTGCTTTAGAAGCTAAGCTAGAAGAATCTCTCAAGAGAGGGTGTTCGTCAGAGTGGACATTGGCCTTTGAATGCTTAGTACTGGTAGCCGGCACTACTTCCATAGGGCACTCAACATGCTGCCTATCATTTATAAAACTCTTTTTCTCTTCATTTGCAGAACCTCCTTGGGCAGGATGAACAGGTCTTTTTAATGAATGACTTGATATTTCATTACCCTTTGCAGCCTTTAGATCTTGAATAGAATAACTGGATGATTGAGGCAGACTATTTTCTCCTAGAGATGCAGTTCTTTTATCAGCCATTGATGCAAATGAATCACCGTTGGCTAATCTCAATTTCTTTTCTGTCTTGGTTGAATACTCTCCTTTTGGATGCCTTGATACCTTCAAATCCTCGACATGAGAAATACTACGACATAATTTAATGTCATGATTACTATTATTCATGTTATATGACTTCATATTCTTCAATGACACAGATTTAGATACCATTTGATCTCTCCCCCTACTCTCACTTGCAACAGTTTCTTTAACCAATCCTTCATTGCGGCATGTACCTTTCTTGAGCTGTTTGACATCCTCTTTTAGGGTCGTAGTGGAGAATGATTTTGATTTAAAATGAAGTCCTGCAACGCCAGAAATAAGAACTTTTTAAGTTAGTCGATGAGAACTACATGTAACACTACGACGTAATTTAACGTCATGATTACTATTAGTATTATTCATGTTATATGACTTCATATTCTTCAATGACACAGATTTAGATACCATTTGACCTCTCCCCTTACTCTCTTGCAGCAGTTTCTTTAACCAATCCTTCATTGCGGCATTTACCTTTATTGAGCTGTTGGACATCCTCTTTTAGGGTTGTCACGGAGAATGATTTTGATTTAAAAATAATTCCTGCAATGCCAGAAATGAGAACTTTTTAAATTAGTCAATGAGAACTATATGTTTAACATTCTAATAGAGCACAGCTTCTGCAAATTACAGAGCATGAAAATATACCCCTTGACGCCTGAGATTGTGAGGACAATTTACGTAATCTACCACTTGATTCGGTAGGAATGCAAACAGTTTTCATAGTGGTGCTACAAGAGTGGCCTCCAGATTGATGCATTGAAGTTTTTCTGCTGGAACTACATGGACTAGGTGATTCAAAAAATGTCCCCAAAGGCCTTTTTCTCTTTAATTGTAAGCTGTCAGCAGGTCTCTTAGAGGAGAACAAGGGAATTGAACAAGCTTTACGCACTTTACTTTTCTCAACCTCCAAAGCTTTGGCTTCTGACGATCTTTTTAAAATCCTAACACCCTCTAGTTGCTCTTCCTTTCGGTTCTCATTATCTTTACTACTGATAACACATTCCTCACACATCCAATCACCTTTGGGAACGCTATCCATCTTCACTCGCATGCAATAACTGGTTCATGGAAATGGAATGTCAACATTTCAGTATCCCACGAGAAAAAGAATATGCCATAAAAACACAAGCATCCTAAACTTGCATGCATAAAAGAGAGTGACGTGGGACCTACGTGTGTTCTGCCCCATCATTACACTTGCTACAAACAGCAAGCAACTCCTCTCGTCCTATGTCGCCACATATATCACAAACTTTTACCTGCTTAATCAAAGACAACAATTAACATACAGAAGGCCTACTCTGTTAAACAGGGAAAATAAAGCAAGCAAAGAAAGAAAAAACTTCAACACCAAGGATTTGATGGTCGTAAAGATGTGAATTGGATGCCAAAATATAAGAAACAGCATTTTTGAAGATATACCACACTTGTAATTTATTCATAGTTAGAATATTATGAATTGCTCAAGTAGCTATTCTTTGAATGAGATGTATAAAAAAATTACTAATTCAATGCTATGTCAAGTCAAAATAAACTTGTTGGCAACATTCAAAGCTTTCTCGCCATCATTTTCTTCCCACCTAGAAGTATAACCTAGTTTTAGCCATGTTAAGCCTAGTATAAACTTTAAACATTCCTAACACAAGAATGTAACAGGAATGACACAGAACATACATCGTATTCTATGCTGTCTGGTCCATCACTGCAAGCAGCAGACCAAGATCCAATAGTAGTTTCCTCCATAATGACTTTCTTAACCACTGTAGTCAACTTTACTTCATCTGTTTGTTCTCTTTCATTTATTCCTGTATCAACTTGCATAGAGTCAACAGAGTTATGTTCGCCACCAATCTGACTGCCAACCTGTACCGCATCTGCTCTTGCAAAAGACAATTGCGCTTGTTCCACAGAGCACTCAGAGTGTTCTCCCTGGAAACGATCATTAAATTTTAGTTTCAAATTCTAAGCAACTTCAAGGCGATTCACCACATATAAAGATAAGGAATCTCAAGAATTTAAAATACCTTTGCTGAGCTAGCACCAGCACGGGAATCTCGTAATGATGAAATTTCAGAAAAGTCTGATTTATTTGAACAACATAAAATCTCCTGAGAAGACTCATTGCATAATCTATTTGACTTCTTTCTACAAGGACCACCAACTATATAACAAGAAGCACTTTCAGTCTCAGAAAAACTATTGATTGAAGCAGAGCTATAAGATGCATTTTTCTTGTTTGCATCACTGTTACAGTAGCCAGCTCTTGTCTCCACATGTTCGGACCCACAAATAAAGGAGATGTTATCTCCAAGGCACTCCGAGGCCTGCTTCTCAAGCTGATTCGAGACTACATTATCATGAAAGACTGGTTCTTTTAATGAAGTGCAGTTTTTTGCACAGGTCTGATTCATGTTTGGTTTTATAATCCTCTTAATGCCTTCAGAAGTGTTGCAATCACAGCATGTTTCTCCACTCTCTGCATTTTCAGAGGATTCATGACTCAAACATGCACTGAGAGGGTGGCTTCCCATACTGCTTTTATGATGTCCATTGGATGGACTATTTACCCGATGAGATGACAAATCAGTATCATTAAAAGAGCAAAGATTACTTTGCTTTTTCCGACAGGCTTCGCCTGCAAACGCATTGGTCTTTATTGCAATTTCTTCAGAATGCACATATGGTGAGCATGAAGGAGCACATGAGCTGCATTTCACAGATTCTTCTTTCAAACATAATTTACCTCTTGAGAATTGTGCATGACAAAATCCTTTTTCAGCTTTAAATGATCCCTGATACAAATAGAGAATCAAAATCAAATAAAAAAAACTGTGATACACAAAAGAACTTGACAAATTTTTTATGTTCAAGAAGCAAAACTGCCAGAACAAGATTAGCAAGAATCAAACAAACAAATAAAACAATATCATAGTAGCACAGAATTATAATATCGATAGAATGACAGGTTTTCTACTTTCTCCACGAGTCCTGCTTAATGATATATCCGTATAAAAGGGGGAAAAATATTGCATTAAGAGGTTAACATATTAAGAAGAAATAGAAAACCCCATGTTTTCATGTCGTCACAGACGTATTAATTAATAAGACAAAGAAAAAATAAATGTCCTGATAAAGCGATCACAACACTGGGTAGAAGATGGAATGTAGATACTTCATTAAGTACCAGCGTAGCAGAATGAAAACTTGAAATATAGAAACTTGAAACCTTCATTTAATTCATTAATGCATCTCAGTATCATTATAACCATTTTTTCTTCCTAGCAAAGGAAAAATGAATATTACAATAAAACAATTGCAACTCATTTCGAAACATGGAAAAGATACTTCATTAATTTTCAAAGTGCCACATATCACAAATGAAGCTCAAGAAAAAGAAACTTTAAATCAAATCTGAATTCACATGTGTCAATCCAAGACCACATTGGCATGTTCCGTTCCTTTGGATACAATGCAAATGGCAGAAATCACAAAAGAAGGTATCTCTTATTTGCTTGATTCTATTGCTTCTACTCATTCAACTCAAACCAACATTTATGAAAGGCAACAAAACCAGTATAAAACAAAACCAGTCTCGATGTAATGAAACAACCAGCTGGCTCTATTCCTGACCCTCAGACTGAGCTATACTTACAAGCACAACAAAACTATAAAAAAAAAAAAAAACTGACACCACATAAAATATCCATAATGTAATTGCATGTACAAGAGAATTTTATTCATCGAGTCATAATTGACAGAAAACTAGAAAAGAAATTATCATGTCACCATAAAAACAGTTCTCACCATATTCAAAGGAGCAGGAAAGTCGGAATCATCAGCAAGCTTTTCTGAACAGAAACTTCCTTTCACCATTGATGTAACCTGCACATATACCAAACAAGCAAATAACATGAATTTTATTCATTTAGGAATACTGAAATAAAAGCCGAGGCGAATACATGATATAAGAACAGAAACAAAAACAATTAAATAAACAAATAGCTCAGGATCATCTTCCATTGAATGGATTAGAAGAATCAGTCTTCAATTTTGCAATATAACATGCAACAGAAGAAATAAAAAAAAACTAAACCACCCAACACTTCTAGAAGTTGTAACATATATCTATGAATTGAATAATTCATATATGATGAAGAAACACGGTCTCTTCAACTTTACCACAGATCTTGAAACTAGAAACAACAACAAAGTAATTATAAAAAGTCTTGAGCAATCAAGCTAGCATTTAAAACAAATTAACGAAAAGCAACACAAATAACTGAATTATTCGAAAGAAGAATACAAATCCAACTATATAAACGTAAAAAGGCCTCGACTTTGTTTTTAGGCGTGATCAGCAACCTAAAATCGACAAAATTGAACCCAGAACCAAAAGAAGAAGAAAAAAAGGAAAATCCCATGCCTTTAAAACCTCGCTTTTAACCCCATACAGTTCGTTTACACTCTTAAACTTCACTTTTCTCATGCCCCCAAACAAAAATTAGAGAACCGAAGACAACAAGCACGAAACTAAGGGTAGACAGACAAGACGATCATAAATCAATCAAAAAAATTGCAGTGAGAAATCAGGAGATAAAGAAGCATAATTTAAAAGACCCCACGTAATCAAAATTAAGTAATTGACTTATTTTGCTTGCCTTCCTTTTATGGCTATCACCCTTCTCTTTCCTTTGCTATCTCTCCCACTCTCTTCCAAGGCAATATATATATATATATATATATAATGGAGAAGCTAGATTTTTTTTTAATTTTTGGAAGTAAACGTCGGGTGTGTTAAGAAGACCGTACCAGATCTTATGTTTTATACGCCGTTGAAATTCCACTAATCAGAAATTTCTAGATGCTAGCGCTTCGGGGGAACTTGCTCGTGGCGTCAAATTTTTATGTTTGATTACGTGGCAATAAATGATTGGATGGATTGGCGGTCGTGGCTACACCGGATCACTACTAAGTTAAAGGGAAGTCTAAGACGTCACGCGTGGGACCCAAGCCGATGCTAATGTGCACCGTTTGCGTGTAGTTTAACTTTAGTTGTCTGCAATGCTAAAGGGGCACGTGTTTGACGTGGGAAAGTTAGAATCTGTAGGATACACAATCAACCGTCGGATTGTTTTTAAATTTGTGTTAATATCATAATTTAACATAATATTAACTTTTAGTTTATTATTATAATTTGTAATAACTTATCTTTAAAAATAATTGAAATTATTATTTTATCCATACACAAAATTATTTATCCCTTACAATAATTTATTAATTTTTTTTCTGAAAATATAATTTTAACTAATAAATATAATTGTTTAATAATAACAATATAATATAAAACTATATTAAAATTTAGATTCTCTCATAAAAAACACTTATAATATTTTTTGTAGTACATAATTTAAAATAATAAATAAATAATACTGTTAGTTTAATTATAAAAAAGGTTGTTGATTTTGAATGGGAGGCCGGTGGGAGCTATAAAATAAAAGCCAGTGTCTTGTCCTTTCCTTTCTGATACAGTATTTGGTGTCGTTAATTTTTCTTTATATTTTTTATTATAATATTTAACTTATTAAAAGATTCTATTAAAAAACTTATTCAATAATTAAATTAAATTTAATAAATAATAAATTAAATTTATATTCTAAACGGAATCATTTGTCAATCGTAATAATGTTCTTGTATTTGAGAGCGTACAATACTAATTACACGACAATTTGTCAAATTATTTGTAATTGTTTGATATAAGGATCGGATTATTTTATTAAAAGTTTATAAATTTTTAATGAAATTGAAAGAAAAAAAACTAAAAACAGAAGAGTTTAAAGAACAGTGCCATTTAAAAAGATTGGACACCTCATGCTTTATATTGAATTCTAGATATTTCAATCACTTAAACTCATAAATTAAACGACCAATAATTTTAAATCTATATAAAACTAAAAAAAATATATTAATACGTTAACTCTATAATATATATATATATATATATATATATATATATAACTAAAAATTATACTAATAAATTTTAACTCTATAATATATATATATATAGAAAACTAAAAGTTTATATATATATATATAACTAAACCAAAAGAGAAGTTTCAATGTAAACATCCAATTAAAAGTTTTGGTGTTATTCCTGTGTGATGTGTCAAATTTGATTACGACAATCCAATCTAAATTCGGAATGTTACATTAATTATCGTAGTAACTTAGAATACATATCGATCTTTTATTAGTAATTATTTTTTTATTTTTTGGTTAACTTACAAGATAATATTTATTCTAAAGATTCTCAATCATTTGACAAAAAAACTCAAACACTCTTGTAATCTCTAGTGCTCAAACCTAATACCTCAAGGGATAATAATTATCATTTTAACAATTGAGATAGCTTTGCTCGTACTATAAATAATTATTTTTTCTTCTAATTAGGCATCATATAGTTAATAGAGAAAACATAATTCATGCAAATCTATTATAAAAATAAGTATTTAAAACCTACAACCATGCCTTAAATGCTAAAACAAGCAATTTATCACCTAAAAGTAAGGGTGTCCAAAATATCCGACCCAAACTTATAACATCGTAAACTTGAACGGCCCAAAATGTCACATTAGACTACCAAGACAACTACTAAAATTTAACACTTTTTTCATTTTCATTTAAAACATCATGTGATTACAAAAGACATCCATAATTGTTATAAAATTACTTTCACAAATCGGAACTCTGTGACATATAGTTTAAAATAAAATAACATAATCTCAGAGTTTATAAATTTAATACAATAATAAAGGTCCTATGAATGTGCATGTCTACTAAAAGTAACAGTATAGTACTCTGGAATGAATGTTGGAAGTCTTTCTATGATAACACTCCTCGAAAGACTTAAGCAATAACTTGCGGACAGAAAAATCCGAACGTTGAGCTTATAAAACTCAATAGTATAATTGCTAATCTATAGCAGCATTATAAATCTCATACACATAAGCATGTTAGTAGATAAGGTAATAAGAAGTAGATACATACATGATCATAATCAAATATTACCTACTTAAGTTTTATCACTTTTATCACAATAATATGAGTACCATGCTTCCTCTAATATATTGCTAAGGTCTCGTCATGAGTATATATATATTGGGTCTCTAATAACAATATCATATCACTATACATCATCACATGCAAAACATTATCATCGCACAAACACAATGATAACATCTGGTGTCACCATAATCGTCAAGTACTAATCACATATGGGGGAACCCAGTGCCACTCTAACCTCGGTATGATTCCAACCAATCAATACAAATGATTTTCTAGTCTCAACATAACCATCAGTTTTAGATCATAGAGGGGAACCCGGTCTCAACATAGCTTCAATATTATTCCCGCTCAATAACATAACATTAACTCGTTGTCACTATAGCTGTCAAGTCAAGTATCATGGATATCCAACAATTATCACCAATACAATCACATGTATAGATGCCCATATGCCATACACATCAATCAATGTCACATAAGGTAATCAAGGTAGGTTGACTATGCACTATCATAGTTCATCACAATCAAGTGAGGTAATCTCTTCACCCGTTGTTATCTTGCTCGTTCTCTCATTTAGAATGTTATGCAAGGATTTATTAGTCTTTTTACATCTATTAGTTCATTAGACCACATTATTATGGTCATTTTAATAAGCGATGGTATTTTGGTTATTTCTGCCTCTAAAAAGTTTTAGTATTTTATGCACTTACAACAATTAATATTATCGCTACCCACTTGGTATATTATTTGCTAACTCGATACTCGATTCAAGGTTAATTATTCGTTAACGACTCTCTAGTTGCTCTTATCACACTTTACTTATATTCAAATTTGAATTGGAGGGACAACTTGCAAGTCGTTAATTTCTCGATATTCACATGGGTAGCAGTTCTTCTAGCACATTATTTGTATGGTACATCATGTCGCTTGTAGGCATATCCTTCGCGATGATCTTTCGTGAACAATTATACTCTAAGTGTCCATTTAGGGGCATTTTGAAGTTTTTTACCCACCAAAAGTATTTTGGTCATTTCATAACTTTCTAAGCTCGGTTGTATATTTGATAACAATCTATAAATATTTGTGTGCAACTAGAGATGTTTTTGATATTTTAATATTATAGAGTATTGATACTCAACTTGATAATGTAGATATTCCACCTGGTGGTATAGGTACTCCTCCAAGTAGTACAAGTACTCTAGTAAGTAGTACAAATACTCCAAGAATGGTACATGTATTGGCAGTATCGAGCTTTAAAGTGGGCAATATCGATACTACTGAAGGGAGTATCGATACTCGATGAACAATATCGATACTACCTTTATATTTTACCTAGACTTTTTCAACAATATAAACAATATCGATTCTACAACCCGTAAAATCTAAAATAAGACTCGAAAATCACTTAAAAATACTCCCAAACACTTTAGTTTAACCCCGAAACAACAATTAAAGCTTAAAGGAGTCTACTGGGGTCATCTAGCACCATAAAAATACAAAATTTACAATAAAAACATCATTTGTAACATAAATCAAGCAAGAACCTCCCACATGCTTAAACACCCAAATCCCAACAAGGTATGGCATTTAATGGAGTCATAACACCATAAAAAAAATTATAAATACACTAAATTGCTTAAAGAATCCTGAAATGAAACTCATTTAACTAACTACTGCTCTCCTCTAGTACTTGGTTTCTTCTCTACTCTTCTCTCTAGCTAAGCATGAAAGACAAAGATTTCTTAACACAAGATAGTAGCAATGAAGGTTATGGACGAATTAGAACCTATGGTAAACATGAAGGAAGCTAATGTAACTTACTTTGAGCTAGACACTTGCTATCAAAGAGAAGAAAGAAAGATGATGAGACAAAGATGAAAGGGTTCAACCTTTTCATCCAAAAACCCACGTCTACCATGTAACAAAATCCTAAAACATCAGCCTTTTTTACTTCAACGATCTTATTACATTTTTTGTCCTTCCTCTTTTGCTTTCCATGCAAAAATTATCATGGCCAATCGGACTCAAATTGCATCTAATTAAGCACACACTCTACCCAACGGCTTCAATTACTAATTCCACATGGTCCAAAACTCTCGAGTCAAACCTTATACATTGACTTCAAAAAAATCAAGATGTTACATAACCACCTAATCTATTGACCCATTGGTTCGGTTTAAAATTATCAAGTATTTCAAAAGTGTTAGATACGTGAGACTCTTTTACTTAGAAAAAACTGATGTGATCCTCAAACTATTTTAAACTATTTTTGCACTCAATATGACCCTCAAACTCAGGAAAAAAAAATCTAATGTGACATTTTGACTAAAATAGTGATACAGATTCGATCTAAAAAAATATGATATCTAAATTTTCAAATAGGATATCCGATCCAAACATATCACTTATTTTGTCTATAATTAATCTCATTTTGAGAAAATATCCTTTTTACTTCTGCATTGTCTCGCACCATTCATTTCAAACGTAC